TTCTCCTTCTTCTTCTCCTCCTTCTTCCTCTTTCTCATTCTCCTTCTCATTTCCCTTTACTTCTCCACCGTGTCCTCCTTCTCCTTCTCCTTCTCCTTCTCCTTCTCCTTCTCCTTCTCCTTCTCCTTCTCCTTCTACTTCTCCTCCTTCTCCCTCGCCTCCTTCTACTTCTCTTCCTTCTGTTCTTTCTCCTTCCCCTTTTCTTTCTCCTTCTCCTTCTCCTTCTCCTTCTCCTTCTCCTTCTCCTCCTTCTACTTCTCCGCCTTCTCCTTTTTCTCCCTTTTCTTCTCCTTCTTCTTCTCCTTCTCGACCGGCGATCTTCCCTACTGCATCAGCTCCCACGATTCCATGGTTATATGATTCCATGGCTGGTCATCGTACTCAGAAATAGTAATTTTACAGCCGTAGAAATAATTCAACCGCGTTTAAATCATGGCCCTTGTTAAATTATGTGAAACAAGGCCTCTGATTGGGTTAAAAGGGCCGTAATTTAACCGCGGTTGAATTATTTTTACCGCGGTAAAAATAACTATTTCTGAGTAAGATGGCCAATTATAAACGCACGACCAGCACTCTTCCCTCCTGCTTCCACTCGTCCCTCATGGGGCATAATCCCCCCAGCCTTCATCATTAAACGCGATTTACCACAGCGGATACGAAAACCAAAAAAGCAAAAATCACATCTGCCCAATCAGTGCAGTCTCGTGGGGTTTGGGGTCGCTTAGAATTTACTATCTTGTGATTTTTTATTGTAAAATGTTAGCGGTAACAACGGGGAAATATCTATCTTTAATTCGATACCTCGTTGGGTTTTTTGGTCGCGGTGTCACTGGGGAACCGCCTTACAGATTTTGCTAATTTGAAGAGCCTTATCTTTACTCTATCTCGTATTGGTAGCAGTACAACGTAAACAACATTTCACTAAAGTATCTCACGTAACACGATCTACGTATCATTATAACTTGATCTCACTATCAATATATGAGCTTCATATCATCAGGAGTGAATAATAATAGATCTATTATCTATTAAATCAGATAATAAATCTATTATTATTCACTCCTGATATCATCCAAATGGTTTGCGAACATCTGAGGGAAACCGTACATTTTGAGCAATTAGCCTAGTATGGAGTTCTAAGCATTCACATTTACTTGTACTTTCGGCGCGCCTGGGCTTATTTTTTGTCACTCAAATAACTAAATACAAGCTTCTTTTTTTAATAAAACAAAACAAAATACTTCGACTAAAGACCTGCAATGAAACGTTGTAAAACCGAACAGCCGTTTGTTGTGCTGCTATAGCTATATCTGTACCTGCTTCTAACATCGGCAGATCATATAACTGAGCAGGATATTTCTGGGAAAGCCGCTAAAAATTCACTTTATTTCCGTTTTAAATCATTTTACGTTGTAGCGAAATCGGCGATATAAAATGTAGGGGGAGGGGTCTGTCGTCGACACTGGTAGTGATGAATGAAAGCATCAAGTATATATATATATATATATATATATATCCGTTATTCGTTATCCGTTATATATAAGTTCCGACATACGTAAGCGCAACCTAATAATTCACTTTATTTCCGTTTTAAAACCTCATCGAGTTACATCGCGGCGGAATCGGCAATATCAAAGTTATCACTTAGTTCAATATCAATGTTAACAAAGTTATCGAACATAAAAGGCATCACGTAAAACCCCGGCGTGTGTGTGTATCGATGGTTGCAGCTTCAGCAGCAGCTGCACCACATCCAGGACGAGCTGATGGAGCTGAAGCAGCGCATAGAAGCGAGAGACGCTGAGGAGCACCTTGCTGCCGTACAGTACGACCTGAGCACGCACGTCGAGGAGCTGAAGGAGGAGTTTGCAGAGCTGCTCGCCGAGCTGAGACGGAGGAAGAACTCCGATGTTCGCATGGAGGCTACAGAGCACACAGACGAGAGAGAGACACACACGCACGCACGGACGCACGCACACACGCGCACGCACACGCACACGCACAGACACACACACCACGCGCGGCGCGGCACGCACGCACACACACACACCACACACACACACACACACACACACCACACATACACACCACGACACACACACACACACACACACACACACACACACACACACCACACACACACAATATATATTATATATATTATATATATATATATATATGGAGAGAGGAGAGATGATGAAGAGAGATACGATGAGGAAATACGATTGAATCTCTCAGAGATGCCGCGCGGGTTGCCTGAGGGGGCTGGTAATAAAACTGCCAGAAACATGATAAATAGCTCAGTGTACTGTGCTGCCATTCTAAATTACAGCATAAATGTGTGTGTGTTGTGTGATGTGTGTGTGTGTGCGGTGCGTGCAGTCGCGTGCGTGGCATTTGCGTGCGTGCGGTGCGTGCGTGCGGTGCGTGTGTGTGGTGTGTATTTTGTGCGTATCTATATATTTCCCGGGCTCACACACACGCACATACGCACACGCGCACTCACACGCATAAATATGCACATACACATACACATACACATACACACACGCACGCACACGCACGTACATTTTACACGCATAGCATAAGCAGTTAGCTGTTTCCCACATCACACCTTTTCGCGTTTACTGCTCTTCTTCGTTCTTCGTTCTTCGTTCTTCGTTCATTGTTCCCGATCGATTCAGTGTCCGAATCGCTGCTTTCGCTGGCAGTGCGGCTGGGAATAATTTACACGTGCCTTGGATAATTTGCCTCCGTATTGTCTGCACAATACAGAATATCACGCCGCGTCGCTTGCTAGCGCATTTTCCGCCTCGATTTCGTGATAGCTCAATCACGCGCCATATTGATTAGACAAGGCGTGCATTACCTCGGAAAACGCGATAGAAATACATCCGGCATTTTCGATTTCTTATTGTGAGGCATATCGCGACTGTGGCGCATGCGACGCTATAATAATACCGGATTATATACCGATCGCATGCGACCGGCGAGAGAAAACGTCCAGTCCAGCAGTCCATATAGCCAATCTAGTGTTGAGAGCAATTTCCCTATAGTGGGCAATAAACGTTATTTGAACAAATTGGAGGTTGTTATAGTCGTAAAGTCGTAAATGGCTATCCATAATAAGTGTCAATATCGCAATACACGCTCATAAATTGCCAGGCTTACACGGAGAGAGTCGAATGTTCAATTTCAGCTGCTTAACATGCTCGAGGTAATAAACGTGCAATAACTTTTTTCATACTAAGCTTGCATTTCAAGCTATGTTATGAACATGTCCGTAATTAAACGGCTAGTAATAGATTATGTAAAGTAACAAAGATTTGAAAATAACAAAAGTTCGAATGTGCTTCAACTATCGTTAACATAGTTGAGAACTATAAAAAAATCATCAAAAACCACTAAATCACTGCTACCTTCAGAAATCTCGACATTTAACGTAATACCTGCGTGGTAAAATCTACCTATAGTGTGCATTTGCACACAGTGGGAGACGAAAGGGGCAGGCAGAGGCTTGTAAGCACAGCTGCGTAATAAGCTTGCATTCGTTTATATTTATATGAATTTTTATTTTATTTGGGTGTTTCTATATCCTCTAGCTATCTTTTTATACGTCACCACCGAAACCCGCACGATCATTTCATCAATGATCATAAAGGATTTCTGATTTCGCGCGTGTCATAAAGGATTTCAGATTCGGAATTCAAGCACCGTACCTCGTACGCTGTCGTGAGATCCGCGTCGTAATTAATGGTGGCCGTCTCGGCTTGCAAAAAAATGGTTGTGAAACCAAGAGCTTACCCGTCACGACACCATGTATATGATGCGGGTCATAATGCGCATTAAACACGCTGTACTCTTACAAGAGCTGGTGAAATCTGTTTGAGATGGCGAACCGCTGTACAAAGATCTGAAATCATGAACGCAACTTCGCTGTATTCGCTCGTCAGTCATTTTAGGATCAAAACTCATGCAGTTAGACATTCTAGTAGTTTTATTTACGCAGCCGCGTGCTTGAGGTAGTTTGTTGTAGATACAGCGATTTTTCTCATAGCCTTAAGAGCGTATTATTACATTATCTGTAATGTTCGTAGAGTATTATATAGCTATTGCGGATTCAGCCTCAAAATATCTTTCACGAAAGCCCCGTAAATTCACACTTAGATGTATTGTAGTATAGCTCTTTCACCAAGTGATAGACAGCAAAATGTGTAAAGGGAAAGGAAGGAGCAAGGGGGAGTGGAAGAGGGCGAGAAGGAGGGTATAGACCGTATAGAGAGCTTTTGTTGTTACTGCGAGATCAGAAACATATATTTCAGAAACATCTTGCCAACGATGACGCGAAAAGACTCTGTTTCAGTCCGAATTTTTTCAGTATAATCTTTCCAACTTTTACATTTTCGCGACAGTCGTAACACGATGACGCGACACAAATACGTTCTTCATAATTTCCTCGCCATAATCTTTTCATTTTTTTTTACAAAATTTTCCCGATTCGCCCGCAGGACGATGACGTCGACTTCGAGTTGCTGCGGCGCTACCATCGCAAGCGCTCCCTATCGGCCTCTTCCCGCAAGTCGTCCGTGTCGACGGCCCGCCCGCTGACGGCGCCGGATTCTAGCCGACGTAGCTCTGTGTTTGCGACAAAGTCGAGCTTTGATTCATCCGGGTCGTCGCCTCCGTCGATTCTCAAGCGGGATGCGAGCATGCCGGAGGGAGTAAAGGTGAGGCAGGGTGATGGGAAGCTTTAGTAGAAAGAGGGTGGTACTGAGGGGTGGTGGTAAGGGGTGGTAGTGAAGGGTGGCGGTGAGGAGTGGTGGTGAGGGGTGGGTGGTGGCGAGGGGTGGTGGTGGTGAAGGGTGGTGGTGGTGAGGGGTGGTGAGGGGTGGTGGTGAAGGGTAGTGGTGAAGAGTGGTGGTGAGGGTTGGTGGTGAGGGGTGGTGGTGTATGAGTGGTGGTGAGGGGTGGGTGGTAGGGGTGGGTTGTGGCGGGGTGGTGATGGTGAGGGGTGGTGGTGTAGAGATGTGGCGGAGGGGTGGTGGTGGTGGGGGTGGTGGTGTAGAGTGTGCTGGTGAGGGGTGGTGGTGAGGGGTGGTGGTGAGGGGTGGTGGTGTAGAGTGGTGGTGAGGGGTGGTGGTGAGGGGTAGTGGTGATAGGGTGGTGGTTAGAAGTGGTGGTGAGGGGTGTGGTGTAGGGGGTGGTGGTGGTGGCGAGGGCTGTGTGTGGTGAAGCGGTTTGAGTGAAGAATGGTGTGAGGGGTGTGAGGTGGTGGTGGTTAGAGTGGGGTGAGTAAAGTGGGTGGTGAGGGGTGGTGGTGGTGGCGAGGGGTGGTGATGGTAAAGGGTGGTGGTGAGGGGTGGTGGTGGGGTGGTGTGAGGGTGGTGGTGAAGGGTGTGTGTCGTAGAGTGTGGTGGGAGTGGTTGATGGGGTGGTGTGTGGTGCGAGGCTTGGGGTGGTGAAGGGTTGGTGTGTAGATGGTGTGGTGAGGGGTGGTGGTGAGGGTGGGTTGTGGCGAGGGGTGGTGATGGTGAGGGTGGTGGTGTAAGAGATGTGCGAGGGTGGTGGTGGTGAGCGGGTGGTGGTGAGGGTAGTTGTGTAGGTGGTGTGAGGGGTGTGTGAGGGGTAGTGTGAGAGGGTGGGTGTGGTGGTGAGTGCTGGTGAGGGTGGGTGAGGGGTGGGTGGTGGCGAAGGGTGGTGTCGGCTGAAGGGTGGCGGTGTAGAGTGTGTGAGTGGGAGGGGTTGGTGAGGGGTGGTGTGTAGAGTGGTGTTGAGTAGCGGGTGTGAGGGGTGTGGTGGTGGCGAAGGGTAGTGTATGGTAAAGGGTTGGTGGTTGAGGGGTGGTGTGAGGGTGTGGTGTAGGGTCGTGCGCTGAGGGGTGTGGTGAGGGTGGTGGTGAGGGGGGTGGTAATGGGTGGTGGTGTTGTGAGGGTGGTGAGTGTGTGTGATGGTGGTGAAGGGTGGTGTGTAGAGTGGTGTAGGGGTGGTGAGGGGGTGGTAAGGGGTGTGGTGTGTGAAGGCGATGGTGAGGGTGCTGGTGAGTGTGGTGGTTGCAGGGGTGGTGTGGTGATGGGTGTGGTGTGGAAGGGTGGTGTGTAGAGTGGTGGTGAGGTAGTGGAGAAGTCGGTGGTGAGGGTGGTGGTGAAGGGTGTGTGAGGGGTGGTGTGTGGTCGAGGGGTGTGTGGTGGTGGTGAAGGGTGGTGGGAAGGGTGCTGTCGAGGGTGGTGGCTGAGGGGTGGTGTGGTGAGGGGGTGGTGGTGAGAGTGGTGGTGAGGGTGCTGTGAGGGGTGGTGGTGAGGGGGGTGGTAGGGTGGTGTGGTGGTGCCGGGGTGGTGGAGTGGTGGTGATGGTGTAAGGAGAGGTGGTGGAGGGTGGGTGGTGGTGAGGATGTGTGAGTGGGTGGTGATGGTGAACTGAGTGGTGTTGAGAGTGGTGGTGCGAGGGTAGTGGTAAAAGAAGTGGTGGTGAGGGGTGGTGGTGTAGAGTTGGTGGTGAGGGTGTGATGTGAGGAGTGGTGTAAAGAGTGGTGGTGAGGGTGGTGTGGTGAAGCGTGGTGGAGTGGGGTGGTGGTGATGAAGAGTGTGGTGAGGAGTGGTGGTTGAGGAGTGGTGAGGGTGGTGGTGAAGGGTTAGTGGTGAAGAGTGTGGTGAGGGTTGTGTGAGGGGTGGTGGTGTAGAGTGGTTGGTGAGGGTGTGGTGAGGGTGGGTTGTGGCGAAGCGTGTGGTGGTGGCTGAAGGGGTGTGTGGTTGTAGAGTGTGTGAGGGGTGGTGAGGGGTGGTGTGAAGGGAGTGGTGAATAGTGGTGGTGATGGTTTGTGGTGGAGGGGTGTGTGTGTAGAGTGGTGTGAGGGGTTGTGTGTGAGGGGTTGGGTTGTGGGAAGGGGTGGTGATGTGAGTTGGTGTGGTGTAGAGATGGTGCGAGGGGTGGTGTGGTTGAGGGATGGTGTGTTAGAGTGGTGGTGAGGGGTGGTGGTGAGGGGCTGGTGTGAGGGGTCAGTGGTGTCAGAGTGGTGGTGAGGGGTAAGTGGTGAAGGGTGGTGTGTAGAGTGGTGTGTAGGGTGGTGGTGAGTGGTGGTGGTGTAGAGTGTCGGTGAGGTGTGGTAGGTGTGGTGGTGAAGGTGGTGGTGTAGAGTGTGTGAGGGGTGGTGGTGAAGGGTGGTGTGTGAGGTGGGTTGGTGGCGAGGGTGATGTGGTGAAGGGTTGTTGGTGAAGATATGGCTGTGAGTGGGGTGGTGAGGGGTGTTGGTGAGGGGTGTTGGTACGAGTGTCGGTGCCGGGGTGTGTGAGGTGGGTTGTGGCGAGGGTGGTGATGTGTGAGGTGGTGGTGGTGTAGAGATGTTGGCGAGTGGTGGTGGTGGTGAGGATTGGTGTTGTAGAGTGGTGTGTGAGGGTGGTGGTGAGGGGTGGTGGTGAGGGGTAGTGGTGTAAGTGGTGGTGACGGGTGGTGGTGAGGGTAGTGGTGAAGGTGGTGGTGATAGATCTTGTGGTGAGGGGTGCGTGGTGATGGGTGTGGTGGTTGGGTAAAGGTGTGGTGGTGAGGTTGTGGTCGTCAGAGTGGTGTTGAGGGGTGGTGAAGGGTGGTGTGTAGAGTGGTGTGATAGGGTGGTGATGGGTGGTGTGGTGCGAGGGGTGGTGATGGTAAAGGTGAGTGGTGAGGGGTGGTGGGAGAGGTGTGTGAGGGTGGTGTGAGGGTGGTGTGAGGGGTGTGTGATGGGGTGGTAAGGGTGGTGGTGGGGTGAAGGGTGGTGGTGAGGGTGGCTGGTGAGGGGTGGTGGTGAGGGAGGTGGTGTGAGGGGTGGTTGTGTATGAGTTGGTGTAGGGGGTGGTATGGGTGTGTGGAGGGTGTGGTGTGTAGGGTGGTGTGAGGGGTGTGGTGAGGGGTGTGGTGAGGGGTGGTGGTGAGGGGCTGTGGTGAGGGGTGGTGTGAGGGGGGTGGTAAGAGTGTGGTGGTGATTGAGGGTGTGGTGTAGAGTGTGGTGAGGGGTGGGTAGGTGATGGTGTGTGGGTGGTGAGGAAGGCAGTGATGAAGAGTGGTGTTGAAGCGGGTGGGTGTGTGAAGCGTGGTGGAGTGGGGGGTGGGTGGTGATGATGGTGTGTGACAGAGTGTTGGTGAGGAGTGGTGGTGATGGGTGGTTGTGAGGATGTGTGAGGACGTGGTGTGGCGAGGGTGGTGGTGAAGGGTGGTGGATGTAAGGAGAGGTGTGAGGGTGGTGTGGGCGAGGTGGTGTTGAAGCGTGGTTGTAGAATGGTGGGTGGTGTGAGGTGGTAAGAAGGGTGGTGATGAAGAGTGGCAGGAACGGGTTGGTCTATAGGAATGGAGGTAAGACGAGTGAATGGTAGCACTGGTGTAGCCAGTGGTGGGAGAGATGGTACCTAAGAGGGGTTAATGGCGATGATTGTGGTGGGGTGGTAAAGAGGAGTTGGTTAGGGAAGGTCTGGTGTGAGGGTGGTGATAATCGGTGGTGCGATGATGGGGTTTTAAAAGGGGTGATTGGTAGAATTCTGTTGGTTGTGTGGAAGAGAGAATGATGCGGATGATGGTGGGGGCAGAATATTGATCTATTATTAGGCGGCGTTCCACACACAAGAAAACGGCGCTGCTCAACCCCGCTAATAGGTGCGATGATTAATAGTTGAGCTAATTGTTGTCGTTGTTCACACATGCGAATATCTTCGCTAATCGGGCCGGCGGTGCAACATTATCACGTCGCGGTGCTAAAATATCATCGCCGCGGTGAGCAAATAAGCGGCTGATTCCAAATTAGTGCAGTCTGAAGTGTTCTTTGCAGCGCGCTATTTTGAGCGCGATTTAGTGAGCTAATTGCGTTCACACTTGTAAAAAGCTCAGTTTTTCGAGCGGGCTGCAAAAACCGGGTTTTGCAGCCCGCTAATTCGCGCCAGTGAGAACGCACCTATTTATAATGACAACATTTCTCAAATTTTCGGAAACAGCTCGGCTGCAACGGATCTGTATGTGTGTGCAGCTGCTAGTAAAAATATTTAGCGCACACACTGCTGTATCAGTTCCCAGCCTAGAAAGTGTAGTCCGCATGGTGGTTTCTCAGCTTCTCGTATTCGCGATCCTGGTTGTAATTCAATTTACCTCGACGACTTGGTTATTTGGCGCAGTATGTCTATTTTTTGCTATACTTGTTATTAGGAAGGTTCCACGTTCTTGCAGCTTTGCTCAAGAAGTATTGATATATAACTATATAATATGAACCTCGGACTGTAAAACCTGGATTTAAAAAAAACAATCGTGACAAGCCGTAGACGGGTGGGCAAAGTGTTCCTGTTGTAAGAGAGCCTACCTTTGATAACTTGCCACTTATTTTTATAACAAAGCAGTAGAATTTATATTAGCTTGGCATTTTTTAAATAAAAATGTTATTCGACATTTTTGTAGTGAAATCTAATTCTGTCGAGATTGAGACTTTGTAACATAAAACGTGTGGCGATTCAAGTAGAAAGGTCATGAGTTCTCACGAAGGCAGACGACCTTTATCACATCAGTTATCACGTGAGTTCTTATAAAAAGCCGCCGTTGGCTCGTGATCACAAAAGTGGCGAGGTATTATTATTGAAGCTGATTTTATTAGGAAATGGATTGCCTTTATCTGTTTGTCAACCGTGAGGAGTAAATTGTGTCATCTGCGCGGGCCTACTTCAGTCGCTGTTGACAGTGAACGGTGTATATATGTCATCACTCTAGCTCGTCGTGTGAAATTACAAAATCCCCCGTATGGGTACATTTTTTTCTAGACCGTAATATTTCGTAAACGACATTTTCTGTCCGACATATCTCTTGGTCACGGACATATCTCTGGTGTCATAATATAATAGTCACCTGTTCAGTTTTAGAAAACCCTTGAAACTCTACCGTGTACAGTGAATGAGGAATACACGACGTAAGATTATTAAAATAGCAGTCGTGAGAGTAATTTAAACGCACATAAAGGTAAATTCGAAAGTATCAGGGCCAACAGAAAGTAGGCCTACAGAAGAAGCCGTAGCACGGATAAACTATTCGTTTTATGCACACATTTAGAATAAGCGCTCTCCGAATATTTTTTTCCGTGGAAGAGTTGTACGAGGACGGACCACGGTGTTTATAACGACGATTATACGCGATTTCAGGCGAGAGATGCCCAGAGGCACGGATCGACCGGAAGTTCGTCCTGCCACCTGGAGCAGGAGTATGACGTCACGCATCATTCGTACCGCACGCGCGTTCGCACCAACTCGTCGATTCGCACCGTCGATGGGGAACCCGCCAGCGTGCCAGAGGAACCTGAGGATGAGTCTGAGGATTCCCAGCAGGGGGAGCACCACCAAAACGTGTGAATTTATCCGAGTCCCCTCATGTGCAGAGTTTCCTCACACCGATCTACACGCACAGGGGCGGCGCCACAGGGGGGGCAGGGGGGCGGGCGCCCCCCCTATCATTTGCAAGAAAAAGGAAAGAAGAA